GGGGGGGGGGGGGGGGGGGGGGGGGTGCGTGTTCGCCACCAACACTGTTTATGGTAGGTTCGTCAGCAGTAGGACCATCACCTGTAGGTCCGTCACCAGTAGGACCATCACCTGTTGGTTCATCACCAGTAGAACCATCAGCTGTAGGTCTGTCACCAGTAAGATCATCACCTATAGGTCCGTCCCTAGTAGGACCATCACCTGTAGGTCTGTCACCAGTAGGACCATCACCTGTAGGTCCGTCACCAGTAGGACCATCACCTGTTGGTTCATCACCAGTAGAACCATCAGCTGTAGGTCTGTCACCAGTAAGATCATCACCTATAGGTCCGTCCCTAGTAGGACCATCACCTGTAGGTCTGTCACCAGTAGGACCATCACCTGTAGGTCTGTCACCAGTCAAACCCTCACCTGTAGGTCCATCACCAGTCAAACCCTCACCTGTAGGTCCATCACCAGTCAAACCCTCACCTGTAGGTCTGTCACCAGTAGGACCATCACCTGTAGGTCTGTCACCAGTCAAATCCTCACCTGTAGGTCTGTCACCAGTAGGACCATCATCTGTAGGTCCGTCTCCAGTAGAACCATCATCTGCACGTCCGTCACCAGTCAAACCCTCACCTCTAGGTCCGTCACCAGTAGAACCATCACCTGTAGGTCTGTCACCATTAGGACCATCACCTGTAGGTCCATCACCAGTAGGACCCTCACATGTAGGTCCGTCACCATTAGGACCCTCACCTGTAGGTCTGTCACCAGAAGGACCATCACCTGTAGGTCCGTCACCAGTCAAACCCTCACCAGTAGGTCTATCACCAGAAGGACCATCACCTGTAGGTCCGTCACCAGTCAAACCCTCACCAGTAGGTCTATCACCAGAAGAACCATCACCTGTAGGTCCGTCATTAGCAGGACCCTCACCTGTAGGTCCGTCACCAGTAGAACCATTAGCTGTAGGTCTGTCACCAGTAAGAGTATTACCTGTGGGTCCGTCACCAGTAGGTCCATCACCAGTAGGCCCCGGGTAGGCCCCTCACCTGTAGGTTCGTCACCATCAGCAAATCTTTCCTCTGTTTCACACATCTTCTCTGACTGAACTCAGTGTCTTTCTCATAAAAATTAGACAAAAAGGAAATCAAATCATTCAGTCAAATAAACATGTTGTTCTTCTGTTTCAGCTCCAGCTCCAGTCCTGTGCTCAGAGGATGAGACCCGGCTGGTGAAAACCCTGTTCACAGGGTACAACAAAGTAGTTCGTCCAGTGAATCACTTCAGTGACGCTGTGGTCGTCACCGTGGGACTGCAGCTGATCCAGCTAATCAGTGTGGTGAGAACAAATGTTCAGCTGTTGTGGAAAGAGAACATGCATTTAATAAATTCAGAGAAAGTACTTAGGAGCTAGTAAACATTGACTAATCAAAGTTAATTATTCACTGTTGTGCATAATCTAAATTAAAATTTAAAATAACAAAAAAATAAGATTTGTTTGTAACATCATCTGCAATAAAAATTAGATAGGATCTTCTGTTAATAAAAAATGCTGCTGCTAGAGTATTAATGAGAGTTGGAAGGAGAGATCATCCTATATTTCTCCAGTTTTAGCGTCTCTCACTGGCTCCCTGTCAAATTCAGAATAGAATTTAAAATATTACTCCTAACATACAAAGCTCTTAACAACCAAGCTCCATCATATAATGTATTAAACATCTTATTGCTCCATCCTTTCCTAACAGAGCACTTCACTCTCAGACTGCAGATTTACTTGTGGAGTAAACACTACTTTTAGAGTTTCTAAAAGTAGAATGGGAGGCAGAGCTTTCAGTTATCAAGCTCCTCTCTTGCGGAACCAACTTCCAGTTTTTGTTTGTGAGGTTGACACTCTGTCTACTTTTAAGATTAGACTAAAGACTTTCCTTTTTGATAAATCCTATAGTTAGACTTAGGTTTCCTGAATTATTCTTCATTTCTGCTGCTATAAACTTATGCTATGTTCACACCAAACATGTTGCGCACCTCCAAAAATCTCAAAACGCACGCATCTTGATGCTGGACAGATGCATTCACAGACCAGAACGAGAAGCAGCAGCAGCAGCGGGGTGTGGGAGGAGCGTCTGCCCTCGGCGGGTGAAATAAAGATAAAATAAAAGAAAATGGTTTTGATTTAATTACTAAAGAGCAAGCGAACGTTGCGCACAGCAGATAATTAACTCACCAGGGGCCTCATGCATAAAGGATTGCACAACTTTCACACTAAAAGTTGATGTACAGACAAATTTAGAAATGTGCGCTGCACCAAAATATTCGTACGCAGGTTCCTGCGCACCTTTCCTTTATACATCCCAACGAACGTGGAACTTAGTGCACATGAGAAACCTCCCCTGACACGCCTCCATTTAAATATGTAAAACAGATGTAAATGTGTCCAGCGTGTGAGATTCTCCTGGGATCAGAAATGATTTTTAGATGCAGGGAAAATATAAATTAAATGGTGAGTGAGTGAGAAAACTGTCTAAATAAGTAGTGGGGTGACATTGTTTTATGTGGCGCATTCGCACGGGACAACCAAAGCCTGAGATTTTCCTGAAATTTACAGACATCTCCCGAATGTGATATTAAAGCCTGGTTAGTTGTTGTCTATTTAGTTGAACACGGCGTTGAATGGACGTTTAAAAAACAAAAAAAAAAAAAAAAAAAAAAACATCAAGTTATCCACTTTTTCCTCTCTCCTTTCCTCCTGCGTTACAGCAGGCGCTGTCATCTCCACGTACAAACCCCCACCCCACCGCCACGAGCGGGTACGAGTGGTAGCTTATGGATTTTTTAGCAAAAATATAGATTTTTGAGGCTCATTAGACAGACATATATGAACAGCTTCCCAGCTGGCGAGGGTGCGTGCGTGCCAGGCACGAGAATCTACCCAAAGCGCAGCTGCTGCGCTACGGCCACAACTCAACTCAGCATCATTCAGAAGGTTACACACAGAAAAAATAATTGTTCTTACCGTACAGAGAGCCACCATTTGCATCCGATTTTGCTTTCTCTCTTCAGCCTTTTTTTATTTTATTTATTTATTTTGATGCCACACGTAATGTGTCGGGTTTTTCCGGCCTGGAACCAAAAGGTTTTCAACTATGTGACAAAAACATAAAAACAGTTTTACAGTAGACTGGAGGTTCTTTTCATCATTTTTAGACTGATCTATTTCCTTGTCTGAGGTTAAATAATTTTCAGTCCCCGGGTTCAGTTTCATGATCGTTCGAGTTTAAACAATAAAAACTCAAACTAAAAAAAACTGACACCATGTTCAGACGCTCCTTACATCCAGAAAACACAACTAAGTCATATTTCTGTGGATTCAGGTCAGATTCGTGACTTTGTGAGTTAAAACTGTAAACTGTAACTGTAACTGAAAAACTTTGCGTGGCTGCTGCACATTCTCACGGCAGGTGAAAAGTGTGCGTAAACATACGCAGACTTTCACGCAACGTTGGTTTTGATACATCACAACGTGGGCGTAGAACCTGGCTCACGTAACTTTTTTATGCATTTATACATGAGGCCCCTGATGATTTAGAGGCGATTTGTTCGGTTAGTTTCGCCGCTCCAGAAGCTGCCAGCTCACGGACCCCCCTTTTTTTTTTTTTTTTTGTCCGGACCAGCTGACCCACATCGGCACTTATATACAGCAGGTAAAATAAGTATTGAACACGTCAACATTTTTCTCAGTAAATATATTACTAGAGGTGTTAATGACA